CGGTCACGAAAAAAGACAAAAAGGAAAAAAAATAAAATAAATAAATAAATAAGATATCACTATGCAATCTGATGGCTGGCAAAAATTTTAAAGTCTGACAAGTCTAAGTGTTGGCAGAGAGTAGTGCAGAAAAACTCTCATATGCTGCTAATGGGAGTGTAAATTGGTAAATCACTTTGAAAAAGTGTTAACAGTTATTTACTAAAGTTTAAGTTATGTGTACTCTGTGACCAAGCAATTCCACTCTTTGATATATACTCAGAAGGAATGCATGCTTACGTACAACAGGAGACACATACAAAAATGTTATAGCAGCCTTGCAAATAACTGCCCCAAACTGAAAACTGACCAAATGTCCATTAACCATAGAATGAATAAATAAATTGTGGTATAGGCTATTTGTGTTGCTATAACAAAATACCATATACGCAGTGGTTATAAACAACAGCAATTTATTTTTAACAGTTCTGGAGATTGGGACGTACAAGGTCAAGGTACCACCAGATTCTGTGTCTGATGAGGACCCACTTCCTCATAGACAGCAGACTTCCCACTCTAACCACACATGACAGAAGGGGCAACTGAGCTCCCTTGGCCTCTTTTATAAGGGCACTAATCCCATTCATGAGGGCTCTGCCCCCATGACCTAATCATCTTCCAAAGGCTCCACCTCTTAATACCATCATCTTGGGGGTTAGGATTTCAACATGAATTTTGAGGGACATAAACATTCAGACCACAGAATAAACACAAAGTTCAAAAATGGGAAAGGGGGGCTGGCCAGCTAGCTCAATTGGTTAAAGCATGATGTTGAAAACACCAAGGTCCAGAGTTCGATCCCTGTACTGGCCAGCTGCCAGGAAAAAAAAAAAAACAGACAAAATTAAACTAAATTCTTTAGGAATGTATAAGTAGGTGGTAAAACAAAGAAAAGGAAGTAAATGATTACTATAAAAGTCAAGATTATCTCCATGAGGGGGAAAGGGAAGGCAGTGATCAGAAAAGGTGGGGGGCTGCTAGCCATATTCTATTTCTAAGCCTGGGTACTAGTTTCATTAATAACTGCTTTATAACTACTGAACTGCATATATGCCTTTATAAACTTCTGCAGGTGTATAATATTTTGCAATAATAAAAGATTTGTTAAAGGTGCAAAGCGAGGCAATATGTGTAGTATAATCTCATTTTTTAAAAGTAAGCTATTATGTTTATATACCAAAAGGTATGGAAGAATATGTAGCAAACTATTAACAGTGGGTAGCTCTGGGGAATAGATTGTAGAGGCTGGAGTAGGAGGAATCTTTTTACTTTCTACTGGATTTATTTTTTTTGAGTCTAGTTTCATAATTTTTTAAGCTCTCATAAAAAATAAATTTTAAAAATGTTTTTAACGCTAGCTTCTTCCCTTTATTTGTACCCTAGGACACCGAAGGCACCACAGGAAGCCAAACAAGCACTCTAGAGCCTGCCAGCAATTTAAGCTCTCATAAAAAATAAATTTTAAAAATGTTTTTAACGCTAGCTTCTTCCCTTTATTTGCACCCTAGGACACCGAAGGCACCACAGGAAGCCAAACAAGCACTCTAGAGCCTGCCAGCAATTTCTGAAGCAATGTCAGCTAGCAAGCTTTGCTCTGCCTTTATAGGAGCTCTGAGAGCCCACTCTCCCAATCGAATATTCTCAGTCAAGAAGGCAGTGAGCACGTCCAGAGGATGCTCTTATTCTCCCACCTTATCCTCCCCACTCCCGGTCCCCACCTCCTAAAACATTCCAGTGCTATCAAAAGCATTTTCCCCAAAATCACATTGACTGTTGTTCCCTCTCGTGCCTTCTCTTGTCAGTCTTTTCTTGTGCCCTCCCTTTAACCAGACTTAAGCTTAATTATCTGAAAGAACCCAGGAAACCCCTGCTTCTTAGCTGGTCTCACCTGACCTTAAATACAATCAAGAAAGTAGCAAACAGAAGTCAATAAACATTTTTAAACGCAATAAGTCAAAATTGTTTCTTTCAAATGGGGTCTGCCAACTCACACCCAATCTAAACGGCCCACTTTACTCTGTTCACTCCAAACCCAACCAGATTCTACATATACTTTCCCCTACCACAACCCTCACTCTTTCCCCACTGTCCAACTTTTTAATCTTTCACTCACTCAACAAACCTGAGGTAAGAGCTAGGTGGAGCAAAGCAAGCAGGTAGAGCATGAATCAGATACAGTCTTATTAAAGATAATATAGGCTTTGAAAAAACCTGGCACAGTTTCCTAGCATGAAGGCGGGCTTCAGTATTTATGAATTACTATCATCATCATCATGACCATTGTATTTTGTGAGTTTCTAAACTAGTACTGAAGATATATGTGCAGAACCATGGCTCAGAGCTACACAGATGGTGTGGAGGATCTCAAATACCATTCAAAAGGGTTTCAAGCTATGAAAATGGGAGGACATTACATTTTCTTTTTTTTTAAGAGATGACCAGTAAGGGGTTCTTAACCCTTGACTTGGTGGTGTCAGCATCACGCTCTCCCAAGTGAGCCACTGACATTACAGCTGTCAAGGTCAGCCCTGACGTTACATTTTTTTTAGGATGGGAGTGAAATGATCAGAGTAACAATATAAGGAGATTAAATGGCAACCATTTGTAGGAATGAATAGAGGGGGGAAAATATTACAACTACAGAGACTGCCTCTCCCATAACCCTTTCCTCAAATATCAAAAGGGGAGAAAAGAGCATAGTGCTGATAACCTCAAGGTCCAGGGTTCAAAACTGTACCAGCCAGCCACCAAAAAAATAAGTGGTGGCGGGAAAGGAACACTCATTCAGAACCTGGTTTCTCTCAACCCATATGAAACAAAGAACTAAATCACGATGCTTGCCTTATGAGAAGAAACATTTTAACTGAGCGGTGAGTGGGGTGGGGCCCTATTTATGACACAAGAGGGCAAGCCCCTCCCGTCTGGGAAGAGAGTACTGGGCACACAGCCTCCTTGTACTCCTAATCCTTCCCCTCAAAGTAGGAGGCACAGAGTGGATCAGCAGGCACTGGAGACGGGGCAAGCAGTGATCAGCCCACTTGCCAGCAGCCCTAAAAAGGAAGACCAGAGATGCCAGGATGAAGGAGTAGAACTCAAAGGGAGGTGCCATCATGAGGAGTCAATGAGAGATCTGTAAAGAGGGAGGCCTGGGGAGTGGAGCCCAAAAGGATGAAGCCTGGGAGACCAACATCTCCCATGAGGGAAATAACAAGAGTGGAGACAGATTCTAAGTCAGAATGTAGGCTAAACTGGGAACCTGAGCCACACCAGAGACCTATAACCCAGCCAGAGCCTGGGCCAGAAAAAACACCCACAGCCCAGCCAGGTTCGAAGATTCAGCAGGGACCCAGTACCCAACAAGTGCCTGCTTCACAGCAAAGACCTCTCACCCAGGAGGACCCTCTTGCCCAATGTGAAGGTGAACCCCAGCAGGAACCTAGAACCCAGCAAAAATCTGCTTCACCACCGGAATTTCTTGCCCCACAGGAGCCTGTGCCACAGCAATCAGCTCCCATCCAAAAGGTGCCCTTCACTCAACAGGAAGCTAACTGCCAGCAGGGACCTGAGCCAGGAAAAGAATCTACAACTCAACAGGAACCAGAATTGAGAGAGGAACGTGTAGCCCAGCCAGGACCTAGGCCAGTAGAGCCACCTCTAACTCAACAAGATGAGTCAACATCTATGGCTCAGACTAAAACTGGACCCAAAAAGGGACCCCCTGCCCAGATTGAATCTACATCCCAGGAGAGACCTGAACAGTCAGACCATACAGCCGAGCAAACAACTCCAGTCCAGGGAGCTAAATCAAAGCAGGGATCTTTGAGTGAGTGGGGATTTCTAAGAAAACTGCAGGAACTATCCATTGAGCGATCAGCCCAAGAGTGGAAGACATTTTTTGAGTGGGTTACAGATCCCGACTCAGAATTAGATTTGGAGTCATCTTCAGAGACAGATCCTCCAGCAACGAGGGGTGAAACAGTGTCCCAGGGAGTAAAGCTAGACTTCAAAGGGAAACCTGGTTATGAAGTCATGTCAGGATATGGTGGGACATCACCACATGGGAAGAAAACCATTGCCCAGAATCACAGACACTACCCAGACACAGGTGAGTTTGAACCTGGAGGAAATGGGACATTCATTCATTCATTTCAGAAACACTAGGAACTTACAGTGTATGAGGTGAGCTCAGGTCATCCTTCAACAATCCTGTAAGATAAACATCAACATCCCCACTTTACAGATGATGTCACTGAGACATAAAGTAGAGGATCTTTTACAAAGCCGTGTGGTTAGGAAATGGAAAAGACAGGATTTGAAGCCAGGGTCTATCTCCCCTGCACCAGGCTGCCTCTCCACAGAGGATTTGGGGAAATTCAAATAGAGGTGGGAAAGAGCTCTGGGATAGGGACCAGGAAACCAGGAAAGTTGCCCTCCTCCCAGTGTTCATTCATCTGTCCATAAAAACTGACTGAGCACCAGCTCTGGGGCAAACGCTGTCATAAGCACCAGCAGTACAATGCTTAATGTAGCCTTTACTTTCCTGGAGTTCCATGCTGACTAGGCAGAACATCAGGGATATTAACGATCTATGAGTTTACCAGGTCTGTCCTCCCCTGCCAGGCTGCCTCTACAGAGGACTCTCAGTTAAGCCAAGCCCAAAGGCCTTGGGGTTCCCAGGAAGGAGAAGCTGGGGAGAGAGGCTGCGGGGACACCAAAGTCCCAGGCAAGGTCAGGGAACGATGGAAGGCAAGTTGGGAGAGCAGCATCAGAGGGTGATGTATCCAGGGCTCCCTCACCTTCTCTGGCTCTTCCTGTTATTCCTCTGAAGAAGTCAAGGGTGCTCCTGGGGGACAGGCTCCAGCTCTGTGGCACTCGGGCCCTGACCCTGCTCAAAACCCCTGCCATGGAGAAAGGGGAACTGCAAATTTTATTATTTCTTTTTAACTTTTTTTTTTTTATTTTATTTTGTCGATATACAATGTGGTTGATTATTGTGGCCCATTACCGAAACCTCCCTCCCTCCTCCCTCTCCCCACTCCCACCCAACGATGTCCTTTCTGTATGCTTGTCGTATCAACTTCAAGGAATTGTAATTGTTATTTCTTCTTCCCCCCCCCCCCGGTTTTTTTTGGGTTGTGTGTGTGTGTGTGTGTGTGTGAATTTATTTATTTATTTATTCTTCTTCCCCCCCCCCGGTTTTTTTTTGGGTTTTGTGTGTGTGTGTGTGTGTGTGTGTGTATGTGAATTTATTTATTTATTTTTATCTCCCACCAATAAGTGAGAACATGTGGTATTTCTCTTTCTGT